TGATGGCAAACCTATGTCATGCAGTGCCCTCTCTATGGGCACGTGAGCAATCACCCGAGTTCAGCTCTGCCGCGCATGCGTGCGCACTTCCCATAGCTGGTCGTCGGGTTTCAGTTGTGCATGCATGGGGGTGGGCCACGTGCGGGGGCCATGCGTGCTTGTCTGGGGGGGACATTTGTGGGGGCACATGCACATTGCATTTTGCGGGTTTGGGCATGCATGCATGTATTCACGCGCACGCCCGCTTTGGGCACTCAGTCCGGAAAAGGTTAGCCATCACTGCCCTAGGACTTCTAACTTGAGAAGATTCAAACCTAAAGCAAGACAAGGCCTGCTACACTTCACTTGTCCCTTTCTTGAGTTATCCCACATTGAATTGTCCTCCGGTGAGTTGGCTGCAGTGAGACTGCTGTGGTGAGTTGGCCACGGTGAGTTATCCTAGACCCCTTCTCTGAAGGCTATATTTACATTTTTTAATTTTGTTGAGTCACCAAGACTATTCCGATGCAAGCCTTTAGAAGAAAGAAAAACCAGGGTGGAATATGATTAGATGTGACAGAGATAATCCTATTCTAGAAAAGCCTGGTCCCTTCGTATATGTCATTGCTTTACTAATGCTATCTCCAGAAAGCAGCAACATAGCATCCAAGAGGAAAAGAACCCTCTAAGCTGCATTCAGCTATATTTCTCTATACTATATACATCATCAGGATAAGAATGGAGCAAGTAAAGAAGCTCTATGCTGAACCCATACAGCTTCTCCTTGCAACCACTGCTTTTTCTTTCACTATTTCTTTCTTAAGAAATACTGTATAATAGAGATTTCTATGGCAATGTATATTCCCCCAGCACTTAGATGTTCACAGGTGGAATCCTCTGAGCTTCAGAAATGATTCTTGGCCCCAGCAGGTGGAGCCTTGTCATAAAGTGATACAGTTGTTCTTAGACAGAATACTTGGGGTGACTCATTCTGAGCCTGCATTTTTCTTAAAAATGCCATCTTTTGTTCCTATTAGCACTGCCAATGGATGCTGATTTTTCAGCATGTGGCTGGTAATTTAACCCAGCTCAAGGATCTCTGTTCCAGGGACAAAGGACAGGATGTATGATTCCAGAAGGAAAGAGGTTGCTTTGTGTGGGAAGCAGTGGGCTCATCTGCCAGTACCTGTTACACCAAGGACCTTGACATTTTCCAGATGTCCCTGCAGGAAAACAGCACCTGATTCCACTTAAAGCTTGCAGCATCTCTCCTTACTCCCACACCTCACCCCAGAAAATATGAAACTCTCTGAGAAAAATAATGTTTTTGGGCTGGGAAAAATCTTCGTAGGATTTTCTATCAAAAGCTGGAGCTGGCTCTGACTGTACTAAAACGCGAGCATATGCAAACAGGAGGCCCCAAGATGCTTACAAAAGTCAAGGTTTCTTCAGAAATTGCATGACCTAAACAGAATGGGGGCTAGTGTAACAAGGAATGACTGAGACCTGAGAGACAACAGATTTCCCCCAGGGGAGAAGACCCAGTCTTTGGCCCCATAAAAAACAAACCACGAGCCGTCTGGGCCTATTTAGCATCCATGACCTTTCATCTTAGAGATCCCCACCCCTCCCACGACTGCCTGCTGTGTGCAGACTTGCTTTTCAGCACAGAAAGACTCTTATGGCTGCTTCTGATATCAGTTTAGCTCCATCAATATCTGCAAATTCATCAAAGAATGACTATATGGACATGTTTCTCTCTGCATGAATTATTTTGGGGGGAATGGGAGGAGGATTTCTAATACATATTGTAGTGCGGTTTCTTCAGTATTCACTAAGTAATCAGTAAGTTTTACTTATCGATATTTTAAAAAAGAAAAAGTTCCACGTTATTCACTGGTTAGATCTAAATTCTGTCTAGGTGTTTTGTTTTATTTTATTTTATTGGTTTAATCAACACAGTAGGTGAAGCAGCATACTAATTCTATGCCAATCATAATCTTCAAACTGGAAGAATAACTTCTAAAGCAAAGAATTGTTTCTGCAATTAATTCTTAAAATTCAAGTTCTAGAACTGTCTTAAGGTGCTTAGATAGAAATTTCTTCTTATTTTGCACCTCCAACTGAGTGATACTAATGGTGAGTGATACAGATGATTGTGCTCATCCTTACTTTCATCCTTCATAGATTGAATAAATAGAAAAAGTAGAAAGTTTGCAAGACAAGAATTATTGTCATTTTCCTATATAATGTTTTAGGCTCAGATTCTCATCTGCAACATAGAATAGTGACTTATCCATATTTGTGGGTAAGTCACTATTTAAAAACAAGAAAAAAATTTCAATAAGCTTTGCAAATAAAAGTACAGTGTTAGTCTCTAAGACAGAGTGACATTGATTTACTTCCTGTAAGTTGAAGTCGCTTCTAGAAGAGTTACAGAACAAACTCCACTGGTTCCAAGATTTTACCTATTGTTTTTAGTTTAATAAGTGTTGAAAAAATAAATTATTCAAGTAAGAGCTGTTGAAAAAATAATTTTCAATCTTTAACATTTGTTTTTGAAAAAGGAAAACCTATTTCTCTTTGAAAAAGATGACCCTCTGAGGTCACAATGACATATACACTTGGTAATATGTGGAGTCCTTGGTGGTGTCTGAGTTTGGTTGTTTGCTTATAGATGTTTGATTATCTGACTAGGTAACATCATCAGTGCATCTACAGTTCAACTCTGAGCTATGCATATTCTCTTCAATTGGTATTTGGTACTTTGGATCAGATCCTACAAAGAAAGAAAGCTCTACTGAAAATAAATAGACTATGTCATTATGTAATTCAGTGTCATGGCTTTCTTTAGGAAGCACTCAACTATGAAAGACATTCACACACATTTAGGTCTCTCACATTTTATAATAGTGTAAATGCCCAATCTAACACCAGAAGCATAATAAATAGGATACATTTACAGGAAGGGATATCCTTACTGCTATTTAATTTAAAATATATATCTTTGCAGTATGCCAGTATATATCTTTTCCAATATGGTTTGCAGTATACAGTATATATCTTTTCCAATATGGTTTTATGCCAAGCAAATTAATAATAACATTATTTAATTGTAATAAAAGTAATAAAGCTTTTAAAAAATGAGGAGGAGGGCATATTCAAAGTATGATAAAGAGGCTTTCACAGAAAAAAATTCTCTATGTACAATGCATCTGAACCGAGTATGGAAGCTTGCATAATAAAACATGTAATATGCCGAGAGAATTCACAACCACTAACTAATAAAGAATCATGAATCTTACTTCATTGTCATTTCCAATTGTTTACAACCCAGTGGTCATCATTTTGCTAGGATCACTTGTCAATAGTTGTTTCTTTGACATCTTATAAATTTATGCATGTATCATAATCCTGTATTACACTGATAGTATCCAGCCACCCCACTGTTGGCCTCTGGTTTGATTGCCTTCCCTTTGTCTAGGCATCAGGGTCTTTTGCCTTCATGTTACATGTTCCTGCCAATCTTATTATTTCTGCCTTCATGTTATATGTCTAAAATCACTAAGCTTTAGCTTCATCATTTGAGCTTCCTGTGGATAGCTTGGCTTTATTTCATCTAGTATTGAATTTTATGTTCTTTCAATCCAAAATATTTTCAATCAGTTTTGTCAGCACCATAAATCAAAGGCATCAATGCTTCTGATAATTCAGATTTCACAATCACATGTTACAGTTCAGAAAGCCAAAGAGTGATTTCTCTGCACTGTAACTAGATTTCTTATAGTTTTCTACTCATTGTTACTGTTATGTGAATTTTGGGGAGGGGGAGCTAGGGAAATAGTCTGTCACTACTTCAAAATCTTGATAATAATAGAAAGCAAGGGTAGTGCCAATAGTTATAAGCGCCTTGAGTGCAATCTCAGAACAACTGGAGCATCACTTGAACACCATCAGAATTGACAAAGTCACTAACTCTCAATTGAAAAAGGCAGTTTTACTTGAAACAGCTTACATCTTGCAATACTTTGAACACCATGAAACAACAATATTTATGAACAACAACATTGATGAGACAACAATTATGTCCTATGACAGTACCTTTAATACTATTAAACAACATCTGCCTATCCCAACATCCTTGGGGAGAGCTCAATAGGTTGATAAATATGCCAAATCCAGTCTATATAAACATCTGGCTGACTATGCAACCAATCAAAATAATAATAATAATAAAATATAAAGACCTGCATATAGAAGTAGAATCTGTGGCAAACAACAACAACAACAACAACAACAACAACAACAACAACAACAATGATAGTATCAATAGTAATTGGCATCTTGGGTGAAATTCCAAATCATGTGGAACTTGAATTCCATCACCACTGGCAAAATTACCATCAGTCAATTGCAGAAGATAACTTTACTTGGAATAGTTTATATCCTGCAGCAATCCTGTTAATATTATCAAACAACATCTGGTTATCCCAGGTCCTTGGAAGGACTCAATAAGTAGACAAGTATGCCAGATCTATCCTAAACATCTATGGTTGGCTAGTCAACCAACCATAATAATATTAGCATTTACTGGTCTTTTTTCAACAAGTTTATCTCCCCTCTAAAATTGTACTACTATCATTGCCGCTCTCCTCTTCTAGTAGCTAATAACAACTCTTTGGCAAACTGAAGGCTATGAAGGGCTCCGGCACTAGAAAAGCAGAGATGCAAGGAAGATTTACAATAGTAAGGTGGACTCTATGTATCCTTGTGTTTTCCCTCCAACTGCTATAATGAAACAATCATTAGGTGAGTTCCTGAGTATGTCCTTTTATGACAGATCATATCGTTGTATTGAAGGGTTAGGTAGTAATGAAACTCTAGAACAACTAGATTTTGAAAAATATGAGGGCTGCATAGTCCTACCGATTGATATAGGCCTACCCCTAGGCATTTTCCAATATAGCCAAGAGGGCTCCTCTTTGCATTTGAGTTTCAGGTTGGATTTGTTTTTTCCCCAGCCAGGTCTCTAGACAAACTTTATAATTTTGCTGACTGCTCTGGCCTGCATCTCATCTTTGCACTAAATGCTTTACGCCGGAATCCCAACAATTCCTGGAACAGCTCCAATGCCCTCAGTCTGCTCAAGTACAGTGCCAGCAAGAAGTACAATATCTCCTGGGAGCTGGGCAATGGTAAGTGAACTTTAAGGATGGGGATTGGGAGAAGGGAAGGGAATGGGAGGACCAAAGAAGCACTACTTTCGGAACTTTTCTCAATGAAGTTGGATGGAATCTTAGTGCAACTCATCCCTACAGGGATCCAAATAGAACAAATGAGTTGAATAAAGATAGGTATCCATTAGTGCAATAAATGTGAGACCAAGTATATAAGCAAGAAGGTTTGTGTGTACTTAGGGATAAATATATTTACCGTGCAATCTTACATCCTTATATCCAGAATTGAGTTAATTAGATTCATTCCAAGATATAGCTAGATGACTAAGGGATATGCCTTGTAAAGAGAAATGTTCCTTATGCATAAAGATAATCCTCAACTAAGTCAGTGAGGTCAAAAAATGAATCATCATGTGATCAGACCTGATTTTACAACCATTTTTATTGTGGTTACTCCTGTCAATAAGTGAATCCAGCACCCCCAACTGAAGTTGCTTATCAGAAACCAGCTGGAAAGATTGCAAACCATGATAATGTGACTGCAAGATACTTAAACCGTTTGTAAATGTGTACTGGTTGCCAGGCAACTAAATTGAAGTCGTGATCATATGGGTGGTGCAACAGACATAACTTTGAGAATGAGTATAAGTTATTTATTCCAAGGCTGTTGTAACTTCAAACCAATGTTAAATGAATGGTCATAAGTCAAGGACTACACATAATGCGTCTAAACTGGTGAAGGTTTATCAGGTGAGTTGTCAAGATATTGTCAAGGTTGGTTAATGTTTTTTTCTGTTTTCTTACAGAACCAAATAATTACCGAACCCTCACAGGACGAGCAGTGAATGGCACTCAGTTCGGCAAGGACTATACACAGCTGAAGAGACTGCTACAGTTAATCCGCACCTACTCCCGAGCCAGTCTGTATGGGCCCAATATTGGGAGACCTAAAAAAAATGTTGTCACTCTCTTGGATGGGTAAGTGATCATGACAAACAATGCAGAAAGCTAAAAAATAACTATTAACTATCTACTCGGTTTATTATGATCCTCTTTCTATTGTGAGATATAATCTGCACTGGTTCCATTTAGCCTGGGAAGCAATACCTATCTTCAGAATTACTATATAATCTCTTATTTCTTATAATAGGGAAGCTTTGAATTGCTCATTGTAGGCTGAGAGAATAATGCACAGCCTAGTAAAGAGCTCCATCACCATTAGACATGAGAGATCAGAACCATTCCAAGATATCTTATCGCCAAATGTGAGGGGACTGGCAACTGGTCATGCTTTTCCAACTATTTCTCACCCATCCTGAAACAGGAAACTACATTGACATAACATTTGGTGACCTTATTGCCAATTCCTATCCTGCATCATTACTTCTGTTAAAGCTTTCTCGTGTTGGGATATGTTAAGCATAGTGATTGCTTAATATTTCTGGCTTTGATGCCCTGTGTCTTTCTGAACATTACAGGTGGCAGGAAATAATTCACCAATCAAAACACTGATGTAATTTGGGGCAAGGATGGGAAAATTCTGAATTTTAACAAGTGGCTGTCTAGCCTCTCCTTTGCTACTGTGTGGTGAAGCAGGAAAAAACAGGCCTCACAAAGTGTCACATCATGCTGATTTCAACTATCACAGACAATGCCCTACTGATCTATGCCCTCCAGGGGACTCTAGACAATGCCGTGTTCAAAGGTAGTATTGGCTAAGAAGGTCCTATAGAACCAAAAGGGATGCACTCCCCCATCGACTTCCATGGCGATCAATTTCAGTAACAATTTGAGAGTAGAAATAAGTTCAGTAATCATTCCTTAAGAAACTCAGGGACCTGTGATACCAACATATGTTCTATGACCTTGCCCCCACAGAGAATTTATCTAGCCTGTTGAATCTAAAGTAGTCTTTTAGTACTACCCTTTTAACATTAGAAATTTTAAATTTATATTTTCTGATCCCTTGGGCATTGCTGTGTTTGCCATATCTGCTTACAAACCACATGTTAAGATGACAGCAAGCACCTGAACTACACAGGGTTTCCTAATAGTATCTAAATAGGAATGTGATATATTTTCTTGTAATAGGAATAAAAGATTCATTATGTCCTTTCTAGTTTTGTGATATATGTTTTAGCAACTAAATCTAAAAGAAAGGAGAACTGCTAGTTTCTGAGTCAAAGCTGATCCTGTGCACCATGTCTCAGAGCTGACAGAAGGACTTATGGGATGATTGAGCACCTATGATTTGGCATAGGTGTTAAGATGTTTCAGTCCCTGTAAAAATGTTCTGGGACATGGTTAAAGGTCTTATACATGCTATAATCAAGATCATAAGCATAATTTCAGTTTCATTTAGTGAGCACTTCACTAATCGCCAAATTGTCATTCCTAATTATGGCCGCTAAAAGAGAACTACATATAATTAGTTTTTTCCTCCTCAATATCTTCTGTTTGATGGACAGAATTTTTTTTGTTTTTGCTTTGTTTGGTCCAGACTTTGAAATATATATTGATTTTTACTATTAGGGAATTTTAGAGAAACAGCAACCAGAGATCAAGATAAGAAAAATTGGGCACAGATTTTATGAGAATAAGCTCCAACATGTTGCCTGTAAAACTGTTTCCAATCACTAATAATTCTGCTGATTTCTTGAAGAATTGTAGTCCTATTTCAATTTATACTAATAAAGAATAACTTATGCAGTTAATTTTCTTGCCCATGTATAATTATATTGATACATATCTAAATCATGGAAAGAATCCATTTATTTCACCCCGAAGATTATGAAAAAGGAGAAGAAAGAAGGTTGCATGCTACAGAAAAAAGTACATCAGTGCATTTCATTAAAAAAGGGGGAATCTAGGGAATAAGTGTCTTTTTATGTCTAACCATACCCAACAGGCAGCCTAGGTTAAAAACCTGAAATGTGTCTAAACAATGGTGAGTAAAGGTGTTGTTGTTAGTTGCGAAGTCGTGTCCAACCCATCACAACTCCATGGACAATGTTCCTCCAGGCCTTCCTGTCCTCTACCATCCTCTGGAGTCCATTTAAGCTTACACCTACTGCTTCAATGACTTCATCAGCCACCTCATTCTCTGTTGTCTCCTTCTTCTTTTGCCCTCAATCTTTCCCAGTCTTCCTTCTCATTAGGTGGCCAAAGTATTTGAGTTTCACCTTCAGGATCTGGCCTTCTAAAGAGCAGTCAGGGTTGATCTCCTCTAGGACTGACCGGTTTGATCGCCTTGCAGTCCAAGGGACTCACAGGAGTCTTCTCCAGCACCATAGTTCAAAGGCCTCAATTCTTTGGCACTCAGCCTTTCTTAAGGTCCAACTTTCACAGCCATACATTGCAACTGGGAAAACCATAGCCTTGACTATATGCACTTTTGTTGGCAGGGTGATGTCTCTGCTTTTTAGTATGCTGTCTAGATTTGCCATAACTTTCCTCCCCAGGAGCAAGCATCTTTTAATTTCTTGGCTGCAGTCCCCATCTGCAATGATCTTGGAACCCAGGAAAATAAAATCTGTCACTACCTCCATTTCTTCCCCATCTATTTGCTAGGAATTGAGAGGGCCGAATGTCATGATCTTAGTTTTCTTAATGTTGAGTTTCAAGCCAACTTTTGCACTCTCTTCCTTCACCCACATCAAGAGGCTCTATAGTTCCTCTTCACTTTCTGCCATTAGAGTGGTATCATCTGCATATCTGAGGTTGTTGATATTTCTCCTGGCAATCTTAATTCCAGCTTTTGATTCATCTAGCCCCGCATTTCTCACGATATGCTCTGCATATAAGTTAAATAGGCAGGGTGACAGTATACAGCCTTGCCGGACTCCTTTCCCAATTTTGAACCAATCAGTAGTTCCGTGTCCAGTTCTCACTGTTGTTTCTTGACCCTCATATAGGTTTCTCAAGAGTCAGATAAGATGGTCTGGTACTCCCACCTCTTTAAGACTTTTAACTTGCCACAATTTGTTGTGATCCACACAATCAAAGGCTTTAGCATAATCAATGAAGCAAAAGTAGATGTTTTTCTGGAACTCCCTAGCTTTCTCCATGATCCATCATATGTTGGCAATTTGATCTCTAGTTCCTCTGCCTCTTCGAAATCCTGCCTGTACTTCTGGTAGTTTTCGATCCACATACTGCTGGTGATCCACATACTGCTTACTTTTAGAGAATAAAAGGTATACTCTCTAAAAAGGACTGGCCATGCTATGTGCCTTATTTAGAGTGACACTGGCTTCAGCTATTTATTTTGTTTATGACAAAAGTATCAATGAATTGAACACTGTATTTTCACTTCTAAACAGATTGTTCACTTTGATTTGCAAAGTAAAGTTTGTGCAATTGAATAACTAGTAGTTCCTGCCTAACCTTTTTTTGGGGGGGCGGTGGGGGGAGATTTGGGTTCAAAATTTGAAAAACTGTTAAGATGTTTCAAAGAGCTGAAAGTAGTATATTCAGTGTTAGAAGATAACCAGTACAGCACAACTTTGGATTCAGTTGCATCAGTTGAAACAGAAATAGTTTCCTGTAGCTCAAATCTGACAGTGCTGGAAAGCATGCTTGTAAAGTACAAATGTATCTGTATGTGGATGTGGGTGGGTGGGTGGGAGTGTAAATACAATAAAGAGGCCTATTAAAGTTGCATTTTTTTGCTGGGTCAAATTTCGCTGTATCTAGGTAATTTCTTTACCTATTCTGCTCTATTCTTGGTTTCAGTTGGAACACTTGCACTTGAATAAAAATATAAACCATATTTTGTGGCTGAGAATTTTAAATATGAACAGGCTGCACATTTTAGAAGGAATTGGAAGATTTTGGATTCCTAAACCTTCCCGCCATCACAACAGTCATACACTCTTTGAAATGAGATGTGTTCCAGATTTTTCTCCTTATTTTCTTGTTCTTGTTTTGCTTGTTTTTGTTATTGTGGTAAGATGGTAACCATTTCCTTAATGGTTAAAAAGTTTGTGTGTATGTACACTGTACACCGTATACACATACACAAATACACACACACACACACACACACACACACACACAGAGTATGTATTTGTATACATACATATGCATACAGTATGTATAGTGCATACATATATACACACATACAGTATGTATATATGTGTGTGTACACACACATGCATACAGTATATTCAGTGCATATACACACACACATACAGTGTGTGTGTGTGTGTGTGTGTGTGTGTGCATATATAATGAGAAAGGCTCTTCAGTCAGTTTCTTAGGGAATGTACTTTTTGTAAAATATGTAACATAATGAAGCAAAGTATTCAGCTTGCTGTCACACTGTCTACCCACTTCCTAACTTACGTGTCTGACCTTATAACCAAAAATTCCTTTGAAGTATCTGCATCAAACAGTGGGCTTTCCTACCAACGGAAGTAAAAGTAATAAAAAAAAAACTTTAGAAGTGTGAAAATAGGGTGAAGTACATTGCCAACTTTCTTGTGTTATTGATGTTTGACCATATAATAAAGATGAACACATATAAAAAATGGATTTCGTATGAGAGAAAACATTATGCATCCATGAAATAAGTGTATCATCTTTATAGTTTGTGCTGTCAGATAGGTATGCAGACTACCTTGACAGTTTATTTGATTTAAGTTGCCTCCTTTGAAGGGAATGTTCAGCCTTACATGTTTATGATCTTTTTTTGCATGCTTTAGAACTGCAGTCCCAATCTCTGTTAAACTGTAGCTATTATCTTACTGACTGGATATCTTATAGCTGAATTCTTCTAAAAGTCACCATATTTAGAAAATTTAACAGATTCCTTTTAATTCAGTTGTGCAAGTGTGCATTTCTGTGGTATCTTGCTATTTTTAATATTTATCAAATAATTCATGTTATATCATATATTGTCACAAATATATCTGCATTAATAAGTATATCTAAGACATATTTTCCCAGCCTTGGGTCCTCCAGATGAATACTTCCAG